GCATTTCGAGGTCCCTTCCAGGCCTTATCAAGTGACTTGGGTGAAGAGAAACGCAAGGGGCCTACGGGAGGCTGGGCATAGGGCATGCCAAGGAACAGATCATGATCATACGTGGTGTCATGCTTGCCCTGGTAAGTTCCGTTGCAGACGTGAGCAGTAGGAACGCCTGGAGGGGAAACGTGGGGAGGGCCGGGAGCGGGAGCAGAGGGAGATGGAGGGGGAGGAGGATTAGGAGGTCCTCGAGGTCCTGGAGGGCCAGGAGGTCCGGGAGGGTGATGATCACCAGGAACGCCAGGAACAGGAGGGGCAGGATAATGGGGGAGGGCAGAAGCGTAACCAGAGAAAGCCGCCAAGAGCAGGCTTAGTGTGTTTGAGGAATGCATCTTGTTGCGTTTTGACAAAGGGACAAGGTGCGTGCAGTGAGGATCGCGAGCTGAGCTTCTAGACAACGTCTGGAAGAAAAATGAGGAAGCTCGTTTAAGAAACTTGCATCAGTGGCTTGCCATGTCGATCGCTGTCTTTAAGTTCAACGGACGTCGAGGCCTGGTGGGCCGTGAGAACGGAGCATTGTCCATACAAATGACATGGTCTACCATGTCATGACTTGAGTGAAATTACATTCTCTTGCCCCAGGGATTGTGCATCCGAAGAAGAGCCAGCTTTCGCCTAAAAGAACTGCCACTTTGCTGCTCGGAAGGAATTGCAGCGAGCACGCACAATATCTCGCTGCCTGGGAGGGAACATGCTTTGGTAGGTCTGTCGATCCCTTCCATATTCTTTCTCCAACACCGACCAAGTGTGGCCGATCAGCTTCAGCTCCCCCACATGATGCTCCGATCTCGAGTCATTGACATCTCGAGTTGCAAATCTCCCCAAAAGGATTGCTCCATCAACCATCAAATAACTCTACTAACTACTGCAGTATTACTCCATTATAAACACTCGTCAGCATGAACTCGCTAGAACAACTGACCTAGAATCCCTGGCGCGGAAGACGGGATTCCCGGGCTTTTAGGTAAAGAAAAGCCGTTGGCACTTGGCAGAAGGTTTAGATTGCTTCTAGAGGCAAAGGGCCGCCAACATCGCAACCAGTCCCTAAATAGGCTTAGACGGTGAGCTAAGAGACGCTCAAAACGCCCTAAAATGGCGGACGTAGCCCCCCTAGAGGACAAAGCCGATGCTGGATTGTCACTCGCTAAGGGATTGTTGCGTGATTAAGGGACGGCCCCGAGAGACGGACACTGAATGGAGTCACTCTTGGTCAATTCGTGAAGAGCTTATGGGGATTATGCTCCATCATTATGGAGTGATACGGGGGATCCGGACAATCCCCCGCTCCATCTGAGGATATTCGTAAAACCAATCCATATTTTTAGACTCTTGGCTCCCTTCGGGTACCTTCAAAACTTTCCTTGGTGAGCAAGCTAGAGAGACGAAGGATGCTGAACTTTTCTCTAGGTCTCACGATCGTGTGGGTTGTAATGAACCTTTTAGTAGCTCCGGGATGAAGTTCCGTTGACAGGTCACCGATCAATGCAATGATACGCGGTTCATTAAAATGCTTGGCTCGTTCCCACTCGTTCCCACTCTGTAACCATGATTTCCGTCAAGGGACCGTAAATCATTGCTCCTCTAAGGTTACATCCGACATGGTTCTCCTCGCCGAGCCGTGACAATTAATCGAGCTCGGGTCCTTTCGCTTGCTTTTTTCTGACCTGTAAGATCTGCCAACACGGTTCATGCGATGTTCGTCCCATGATTCTGGTTAATTTTCTCGAGAAAAGAAAAGATCATCGTCGCTCCTTGGTACACACGTGGAATTACACCCGGATCAGCATAGACCCATGTCGCAGGTAGGTCAGTAAGCAGCCAACACGTCTCGTTTCACCAGGTTCATGAATAAGGTGGAAGGACCTTGGATTAAATGCCCGTCTCGCTTGACAGTGTGTTTGATCCTCGCATGCTATACCCGGTCGGCCGCGGGAAACTCGGCTCTTGATGACAGGCATTTGTTAGATCTGAGCTGGGAACGAATTTCTCCGACGTATCAGTGGACGGCAGAAGGGAACTTTCAGCCACCAACGCACCAAAATCACCAGTCTAGCGGCACTGGTCCGCTATTCCAAACTTAGCAATGACCACTGTAGCCATTTTACCATTCTCATTGATCAACCCAGTAAAAGTCGGCTCCGACAAGGAGAAAAAGGGGCGCTGCAGAGGTTCCTGTTGCGACCATCTCTGCGCTGCAGCCCTATCCTGGTGGGTGCGCGATCAAAGCGCTGACCCAGCTGAATCCATCTGTTCGGCCGCTATGTCTGTCAATCCCTACTGAATCTGATGTTGATGACACGATTGACCACGGAGGGGACCTTTTGATCAAGGTTAATTCCAAGGGGGGCCGAGTGTCACTGCGACCTTGTATATAAAACCCCCGGGGACCACTATTCCCAGGATCTCCGCTGTTCGCTGCCCGAAATCCGGATCGGCGTCTGGTTCTCCCACCATTGCTTGCCGCGCATGTCTTGACGTCTCGTTTCTTTTTTTTATTTCCCTTGTCTTCTCGTTTTTTGAGCTTCACAATGGAAGATGAACGAGGAACCAGATTGCTGGTGTCAATATGGACTCTGTGCCTGCTGAGTCTCATCTTGCTGTTTCTACGTGTTTACTGCAAACTATGGAGAGGTAAAGGTTTATGGCATGATGATTGGTGCCTTATCGCTGCCTGGGTAAGTTATCTGCAAATGCCTCTCTTGATGCTGTCTCTGACCAGTGGATATCATGAGTATAGGTGGCGCTCGCCATTTCTGTCTCCCTCAATACATATCTCGTATCTCTCGGCTTCGGAAGACACGCAGCTACGATCAGTGACGAGAACCTAATAATAATAAACAAGACGACCATTGTGGGAGCTGCCTTTGGTATAATGGCCACGACAATCAGCAAGACATCTTTCGCCATCACGTTATATCGGATTGCCACCAACGCATGGATGAAATACTTCCTCATCTTTATTATCGTCACTATCAACGTCTCGATGAACTTGGTCTGGATTTTCGGTTTCGCCAAATGCACGCCGCTCGAGAGGGTATGGAATCACAAGGTGCCTGGAACTTGCTGGGACAAGTCAAAGCTTCTCACGTTCCAACTATTCGCTGCTTGTACGTCCTTGGATATCAATAATGATTGTGGTTGGTGACTTATATTTCTCAGATTACTCCGCGATTCTCGACTTTGTTCTTGCTTTACTACCTTGGGTTATCCTGATGCGCATGACCATGCGTCGACGAGAGCGACTCGGCGTCGCTGTCGCTATGAGTTTGGGTGCTATGTGAGTACAAAGTACCCTCAGCATGTAATATGAAGTTACTAACATACTCAAAGCGCCGGAATTACTGGTATAGTCAAGGCTGTACTGGTCGTCAGCATGAAGAGTGAGGACATCACCTATGACCGTGTCGACCTCACGATCTGGACCTTGACGGAGCCTGCCGCTTCCATCATGGCCATATGCATTCCAGTTCTGTATGTACATTACGCTTCCTCTTATGCGTCCCATCGCTAATTCAAATAGCCGTATGCTGTATCGAGAACTTAAGTCAAGTTCACGAAGCTACAACCGTAACAGGACCAACACAACACCGCGCGACGTCGACACAAGAAACACAGCCGGGGCATCAAACGCTCGGCAGTCAAAGCGATACAACCCCAATTCACGATATGGTCGAAATTCGGTCGTCATCATGTCAGGATGGCAAGAATCGCAAGAGCATCTCCAGGACGATTCTGACGGAAGCCAAAGCCAGACCAAGATGTCCATGAGTTCCGGGGGCGTGATGAAGACTGAAGAAGTAAGAGTACACCACGAGCGTTTGAGCACATTTAGCGATGAAAATTCGATAGAGCTTAGGGGGTTGCCGCCAACCCAAGGGAAACCTGGGCATCAAAATGCTGAAAGGGCCCCCTCGTTTTAGATTAGATTAATCACATACTGTTAATGACCCGTGTGTATTCATTTATGCTATACAATTCCTACGTAGTTTGACATCAACATCGTATACCTTAGACCTTCCAATTTCGGATCTGTACTGGGCCTGGTCAAGAAGTCAGTATCTCAGCTCTCTAAAACGAAATGGGCTCCGGGCTGCGGAATTTGAGCTTTAACAAATGTTTGTGCGAGGTTGGATCTCCTCGTCTTTCCGAATTCTAGTGGAACTAGCGTCTTCGGCCCCTTTTGTGCGCTCATTTTGTTCGTCGTGTATTCCATACTGGTATGTTTGGACATCAGCCTGAGGCGGAGGTCTAGATTTGAACCCATGGTGGGCGTTCTATCTGAGAACTATTTTATTGTTCTTTTCCTCTTCAATACATCGTTGCAGCGCTGTACACAAGGAAGGGTCCGTCTACGACATAAGCTACTAAAAGTTCTCTTCAAACAATGGCATAGTTGCGAGGAAATCTAGTTTTCACTAGAAGCTCATACCTAGAACAATAAAGATTTGCATCACCCATCATGTCTATCCTCCCCAGGAGTCCTGGGATATTATGCTGGTGTTTACGCAGTGTTTACGCTGGACCTGTTTCTCGACATCATCCGTTGCTTGCCAGCATATGCGACCTATGATCAATCACAGGCCCTTTGCATGCCATTCGAAGTAGTCAAAGAGCCGATATTAGTCCTAATGATATGCTCGTGGACAGTTTCGCCATTATCAACCTCGCAACAGATACCCGCCTTGCCCCCTCTACGTATACCAAGTCATCTGAGGCAATGGCATTTTATGCATCATACGTTCTCCGGACTGTGGCATTACTCTTAGCCATTTAATATAAAGATTTGGCGTCTATGTCAGAATGAGCCTTCATGAAACTCCTTGGCAGCTATACATCGTGGTTTGAATGGACAGCAACACTTCGGCTCAAAGCATGTTCTATATGATCTCAAGCGTCAAAAAGAACAGTCGATGGGAAATTCGAACTTGTGGCCTACAAAAAACGAAGAGTGGCGTAGGGAAGAGAGTTTTAGGATTTTAGGTTCGGAATTTAGAAGTTTATAGGTTATAGGTAGATACCCCTACACCACTCTTTCGCCGATGACATATAGAGTTCTTTTGGAAGATAAGGGTAAGTGTCCTGGGTCAGTCACGTGAAAATTCGTTAATCTGGTGTAAGAGGAGACCTGGACTGGTCACGCATTCGATTTTGCACAGTTGCTCTCTCCTCATCCACCATTTACACGTCGGCCGCAGAGCAACCAGGTCCTACGTGAGAGAGAAGGATCGCTGAACTCGCTGGCTCCTTGGTAAGAATTTGCTTCGACATTTATTTAGAAATAGATAAAAAACTGTCGAGGTGTTTTTGGGAATTGGTGCCTCAGTCCATCTGGGAAAGCAGCATGACACGGAAAGTCGGCGAGAACACTGCGGGTGCCTTGCAGCTTTCCTTGACAACACTACAAGATTCTACCTAATAGAAGCTACTTATATTAGAGAACATCAGTCAAATAGGCTCTTCATGCTTGAAAGGCCGCCGATCGTCTAGTAAATAACATCGGGACCTCAGACCCGACAGAAAGGCATGGCCGGGCTTCAGCAATGGATGCCACACTCAAGTAAGCCTTTTCCAGCTTCCATAAATAGACTCGGCATATTGCCGCGGCTTTTTTTGCTATTCTGCACACTATTGTCGCCGAGTTCGGATAGTAATTCTAGCCAACATGTTGCAGTGGTCCCCCAAGTCAGCCCTTCCTTAGCGTTACATTGCATATGCAGACAGTCATTATGTTACATGCTGGCAATAAGCCATGGTTTCAGCCTGAAATGCCTATAATGATCAGAGTTTTAAGCGCCAACGGGAACTTTTTTAGCGCATGAAACACTACGATGCAAGTTTAGACTTGACGGGTTACTTCGTTCATACGATCATGTCAGGTGAACTACTCGAGAGCGGATCTTTTTGTTTGAATTCAATATGTTCATTGTATAAGGTAACTTTGTACGGGTCATAAATGTAGATACATAGACAACACAGCTCTGCTGCTTGTGAAAACGTGAACCGACTAGCGGCGACCAATGAATATCAGAGCCTGGGGCATGCCCTTTTCTCAGCTCTTTGGTCCCAAGCTCGACCTGAGGGACTAGAAACCACTTGTTTGCACCATCTCGGAAGCGTCTTAGATAGATTGGACGGAAGGACCGGGGATGGGGTAGGAAGAGAAAGACTGGTAGAGGTTGAAGAGGATACCAGGGTCGGTAGGAGTGTAGAAGGTGGTGAAGTCGCCACCACCGCTGATGGCCTGGCCGCCACTGCCAGTAACCTTGAGGTTGATGCACTGGGGGTAGGCCTGAGCACCGTTGGCCTGACCAGCCGAGTGAAGACCAATGATCTCATGTCGGAGAACGTAGTTTCCGGCCTTGAGGTTCTTGGGGACGGTGAACTTCCATGAGAAGCCATCGCGGATGAGGTCGTCGGAGGCCCAGTCACCGGGGTTGTTGCCAGACTTGAGGCCCTTCTGAGCGACCTTGACCCATCGAAGGCTCTGCTTGTTGATGCTGGCAAAGTCACCGCTGACGGGAGCGAGGTACTCAGTAACGGGACCGTGGTGAGACTCTGGCCACGTATCCCATTTGAGGGTGACAACATCACCAGCGGCGACAGTGACAGCGTTGGAGACGGGCTTGGCGCTCTTGTGGCAGATGATATCGGCAGTCTTGAAGGCATCGGGTGCGACGAAGCCGTTGTCCTGGTTGCCAGCAGCCCAGCCGACAGCGTCAGAGGGAGCACCGTGAGGAATACCACCGGTGTACTCCTTGCCACCGGCAATGACCTTTGCGACGTGACCGTGGGCGTTGGCTCCAGCGAGGAGAGCAGCCACGACACCGAGAGAGAGGTTGCAGTGCATGTTTGCAGTTTATAGACTGGTAAAGACAAGAAGGCTTGTTGGGCAAAGGTCGATTGGTGAGAAGTGAAGAGAAGCTTGCTGGAAGGCTGATTTGGAAATATCTTGACAAGACTCTCTCACGTTTATATAGCCATCTGATCTATAACACCGACATGGAGCATCTATTCCTGTGAGTCTATACACAAAACAAGGTGACCCTTTTGGTCAACGGAGATAAAACTGGAACTAGACGGATTCGTGCCCTATCGAAAGGAGTATCAGCATCCGTGTTTCCCAAAGGGAGCTAGGATCGTCATCGACAGCCATCATCAAGAGGGCCGACATTAAAGGAGGTTGTAGCCAAGCGTCTCGCCTTAAGAGCTGGCGTATCGCCTGGCATTATTTCGGTCTGCAGTGTAGCATCAGATCCATTGCGTCTTTTCGGCCATCGGACAGAAGAGCCGCCTGTCGATTCGCTGTGTCATGTTTCAGGAACAGAAAATGACCAAGAAAAGTCGGAACGTGAGTCCGATTATCCGCCTGTCTGGTTAAAGCAACGTCTTGGCGAGATCTTGCCTGAAACAGATTGGACGGGTACTGTGTCTCCATAGTCGCTTCAGATTTATTAGTGACAGTATGCGAAAACAATGGGCGAAACGCGTATTTAGAGTTTTATTCGTGGAAAACTAGTCTTTTAATTCGTCCTGTTTCACGGCGGGTTTTTCATCTATCAGAGGGAAACGTCCCGGTTTAATTCCTGTTGATCGCACGGCACTAAATTCGCTTCCCGGAAGGTTGGTTAAGCATATAATGGCAATGCAATGCAGCATGCAATAATCACGATAACTATAGATAGGAGAATATCTGCGGCACGGCCGAGTTCAGATGACTCGCGATGAATACCAAGCCGGAGAGGTCGAGTGCTTATTACTGCATTGGGATGAGCAGTGCAACGGGAAGATGCGAACCGCTCGATCGCAATAGCCATGGATCAAGATGCCATCGTGGTATGAATCGTGTCACGGTGGAGATAGATGCAAGCTTTGACCAAGATGGACGAGTTTTCCCGTGGCCTTGTTTCAAGAAACAAGGTTACGCGGCCCGGTGTTTGCATTCCCAAGCATTCTTTGCTTCTTCTCGCTTGGGTAGACGGGATGTCATGTCTTAGAGGTTTGAAACGAGATGGCCCAGTGATATGGTGGTGAATCGTCTGATGTAGACGGCTGCTGGCGTTCATGCATGTTTGGGCTTCAGGCTTTCAGCACGCTGACATCTCTAGATTTACGACTTCAGAATTAAAGTTGCCCACAGGTTTCTAGGCCAAATCGGTTCTGACACAAACCGAGATGTTCACAGAGGTTGTCTGATGCACAGTAACAGACAGTGACTAGACTGTTGTCGTTACTGGTATGACCTGCAGTTGCTGGTCTACCAAGCACATACGACCATAGGTAGTGGAAAATACGGGATCCCGTCTGCTCTCCCATAGTCAAGCCACTAACCGGCGGATTAGTAGTTGGGTCGGTGACGACCAGCGAATCCCCGCTGTTGTATGTAAAATTCTCTTTTTGCTCGTTGTGAAGAATACGTCTCTGTTTATGGCTTTGTGCGAAGAAATTTTTGCAATCTGGGGGCACGTGATGTAGTTAGCTTTCATTGGCTGGGGATTACCGGGGAACATTTCGACATTACTACTCTTACTCCGTAGTGCTGAGCTACATCCCTTACCCTAAATATACTCTTTAAATACTGTAATAGGTAAGATGAGAGACAAAGCTCAAAGAATAAAAGCGATATCTCATGCCGCTAAACTTCAAAGATCTCAAAGCTAGATGTCTCTTTTCAGTGGAATCGCGTCGCTATATAAAAGCTACATTATGTCGTCAAATGTTCATCAGCGACATGCAAAACATGATACACCTAAGTCACAATGAGTCAATGACAATACACAAACAGAGCTTGGTACATCAACCACGCAAAGTGGAATATCACACGCGTAGCCAACGGGCAAATAACAAATTGATTCAAGCGTAGCAAGCTCAATCCGTTCCAAAGATTGGTGTACTCTGTACGGAGTACCTCGAAGCTCATTGTCATATTATTCGCATCAAAATTCACCATGGCTATATGCTGAATGACCAAGCGTGGATGTCAGATCACTGCGAAACAAACAAAGCGTGAGTCCAAACATGCACCTTTTTCAACACGTTTTTACAGCACATTTATTTACGATTTAGACTCTTCTTCACTACCCAGGCAAGCCCGAGAAAGCAATGAAAAGGGAGGGAGCTCAACAAGCGCGCGTTCGCGTCACCTAGAGGCAGTGTAATACTAGGGACACTGTGGACGGGATCATATGCAAGCATAGAGGAAGCCGTCCGCTGGCCAAAAATAGGAATAATCACGATTGATGTCCTTAGACATCTTTCAGAGATTAAACTGAAAAGAACAGATACTACACTTGATCTAAGCCAAAAGGCAAAGAGAGCTAAGGAGAAAAGAAGAAGAGAAGCGCAGCTTGGGCTGGCTCGACGAGAAATTTATACTGAAGACTGGGGGCGGTGAAACCCCAAGGTTTGGCAGAATATGCTTTGCGACCTGAGGCATTTCATGGTGGTTGAGCAATGAAAATGCGGTGGCTGGGAGAGAGTTCATTTCGCTTGGTCGAAGCGAAAGCATCACAGCATCATTGACAAGAAGACGAAAGTCTGGCTTGCGGTACGTCAATCGTTGCCTGTCACAATTGACAGAGTTTGAGGTAGTGCGAAAATACTTCTGGGGGCGTTGAAGACGCACCAATTGACTACATCATTTGCCGCGCCTCTTTAGGTCGCATCAGAAAGTTTCTACGCCGCTGAGTGTCAAAATTGGGACGAGACACGTGGGCGAGGCTTGCGATATCATAGATCGTTTCTTCCGACGTCACGTTCTCTGTCAAGAGGGTGTTCTTAAGTAGAGATTGTACATATATTCGGGCCGCGATTTGCTGCATCAAGAGCCTCCAAATTCTGGACTGCATACATATGGAGTACTCAGTTTCCATATGACCGCCTGCCTCAAGCACAAAAATGCCTACGATGATCAAAATGGATGGAGCGGACGTTTTGTCCCGGGAAATATTAATCTTCAAGTATATTTCCGTTCATGCCTTGGCCTACCTCGATTGAAGACATCACGGCTGAATGCAACATTGTGCCGCTTATTTTGTCGCATGCTGACATCGAATGAATGGAACGCTTGAAAGTGATGGTATTATTCCCGGTTGACATTATCTACTCGAGTAAACTGAAGTATCCATAAGTCGTTCATCGTAAGATCATTACATGAAGTCCGCCTCAATCAAACCCCAAACAATTATGCGCAACCATCAGACTTGTAAACAAGAGCCGAAGGATCCTCCTTCTGCAGATAGTTCTGCTCAATTAGAAACTTGACATTGCCAGTTTCGCCAGTGAAGAACTGTGCTCCGAGACCGGGCTGGCCAAACCAAGGCGCGATAGGTCCTCCGACCACTGTAAGAGGCTTGATGACCCGGTAGACGTGGTAGTTGTACGGGAAGTCTGGGGTATCGGGGTTCGTGGCCAAGTTCGAAGGAGGGAGAGCTCGTTGCGAGTAGGGAGCAGAGGCAGCAGAGACGTATGACCCTAAAATGCTGTTAGACTGTGCTGTTGGATTGAGGCGACCCGACGCGACTTACCATATTCGCTTCCAAATCGATCTACGAGAGTTCCCACCTGGAGAACCATGCTGCCGTTGATGGCATTGCCATTCGCGTCAAGCTGGAAGCCATTCTGCGGAGGGTACTTGTAGCTGCCCTTCTCGTCCGTCCATGTCTGGAGGAATTGGATTGGTGTAAGCCCACCGAAGCGGTTGTAGCTCTCGACGGTTGCGCTCAGCGGGAGCTTCTTTGGCAGCTTTGTAGGGCCGAGCCGAGCATCGCGGCAGATGTAATCTTTGGAGCTGGATCCACCATCGCGAGTGCCGGAACAATCGCAGGCTGCTCTCTCAGCGACAATTGGGTTGGGCAGAGCTGAGACTGTGGAGAGGCACAGCAGCGAGGAGAGGAGAAAAGAGGGAAGCATTTTGAATCAACTTTGCTATCGCGTCAGGGAGTATGCGCTTGGAGATGAGCTGAGGCCCTCAACAACAGAGGATAGAGGCATCTTCTTATACATAGGAGCCGTGTCTGAGCCAAGAGCGCATGTGAATCTATTGATATTTTGTCTCTGTTGACGAGCTGAGATCTGCATGATGACTCCGCTGTTACTGTGATGGCCTCAGACGGCGCATCCGAGCTGAGCAAAATGTCTTACTCTCCGCTCCTTTGGTGCAAGGATACAAGGGCTAATGCAGGTATGCCGGCAAATGAGCTAGAATGGCAGTGAGTGATGCAGATGCCCAGACTCACATGGCCTCAACAAAACAATTACGATACGTAATTGCCTGATCTTGAGTAATTGAAAAGCATATGAAAGAAGCGGTCGGAACAGATTGACGGTCCAGCTCATTTTGTGATGCTCGTTGAGCTTTTGCGCGTTGATGGAAGATGGCCTAAAGATGCACTATCGAATCTCGCTGCCGTGTTTTGTTCCAGGCCTGGTGAGACCCGACAGCAACCTCCCCACGATTTAGTGCGTTGCTAGGCTGTGAGCCCTGTGAATTAGTTGATTGCTCCCCATGCATGGAGAACCTTTTAGCAGAACAACGGCCATCACTTGTCGGGCACTCAGTATACCTAAGGTAATAATCAGCCATTCTTACAGGGATTCGAGGGTCGTTTTTTGGTTGCCTGAGAGCTGACTTTCAGGTGGCTGGCTGATTGACCAAACGAGCACTGTGCATATCAGCTAAGACATGGCTTCACGCGCTACAGCGCATTTCGTCTTAATTAGTGCGGAACCCGTCGCCGACATTTTCTATAGCAACAGCCCGCTCCATGGACGGGGCAACTGGTAACACAGGCGATCACGATGGCGGTCTGGAAATGATCAACATCGAGCTGAATTGGTTCTGTCTGTACT